ATTACAACACTTATCTATTTTAAATCATGTTTATTAAATTTTTATCACAGTGGAGATTAACTTATGCTTAATCATCCAGTCAGTGCCTACTGTCAACGTCATCAAATTCCAAGAAAGTAAAATCAACTCATTCATACACTCGCATTACTACCCCACCACTCATTGCCTCTGTCTTTTTTCCCTTTTAACGGCAACATTGTGATAAGATTGTGAAAAGGTATAATACCATTTCTTCAAGTATCAGAGCAGTACATTTGTCTGCATTGCATATTAGAAAACTACTTGTGACGTTATTTCTACATATAGGAGAGTGGCTCCTGGTGGGTGTGTAATGACATTGTCATAGTGTATGACAAGGATTTACAGCATTCCAGAATTTTCACAACTTTCCCAAGTTAGTGAATGCCATTAGGTAAATGTTGTATTTATCTACTGTCAGCTGTGGGATTTCCAACTACAGATAAATAAAGCATACACTCAACATGTGTAGTGCAAATGCTAAGTAAACAGAATGACATGGAATAAACTCAGTTGCCAATTCGTGAATAGTTCAGCTGGGAGGTCCTGATCTTACGATGTCTGTGACATGCATCCCGTTCTCAAATGAATACTGTCACTGTTCCACATCAGCTACACTGACTGGAAAACGCTGCTGCACTGGGGGCTAAGGGGGCAAGTAGGAGCTCATTTTCATAAACAACTGGTACACAGTTTCTCTGTTGCTCCTGTATATCATGTAGTCTGTTTTGTTAACCGCTCTAGACAAAGCAGGTACCAATAAGGAGAATTGCAAATATTCCATTTAAAAGAATTAAAAGTTGGCACCTATGTAACATAGATTATGTGGCCTGGACAACAAAAGGGATGAGGAACATTTAAAAGTTAAAATTTTGGAAATGAAACACCTGAACATTCCAAAGTTACACTGTAGAAAAACCATCAAATATTCAACAAACGATGGCCCTTTTTAAAAATGCCATATAAGCAATAATCTTCAATACTTTGAACAAAGGTCAGATTTGTTGCTTTGTGTTAATTACACATTAACATCATGTTACTCATTAGAAAAAACGATAAAATTCGATAAAATTCTTCCACAGGAAAATTATCAGTAGGAAAACAAAAGTAAAATGTGACAACCAATTTATATAATTAATTACACAAGTGTCCACAGTCTGTAAGAAAAGGAAAACAAAATCAGAAAAACAACTAAAAGTACAAAAACGTCTGCCATTTATCTTTTCATTTTCTTCCTCTGCATCCAGTTTTGAGGGAAAAGTGTTCTTTCACGGTAGTGTTGAGTTCACATATAGTAAATGCTAGATGAGAAACACTGGGATCCTATCTTTCTATTTCATTCTTGAATGTGTTGTACCCTCAACAAATATAACAAGCAGCCACTAAAAAGTCTCTTAATTAGGAGACACACAGACACACACACAAACCTTATTAAGAAAATGAAACCATTCCTTATCTGGGACATAAAGATTTAAAACTAAGGTCTGACATGGTCACTTAGTTGATTTAAATAATTAAGGCTTCTTAAAGATTCAGTGCTGAAACTCTCAGTATTCGAATAAAACGCATTGTAGGTTTGTGCTTTTATAGCCATCTTAATTCCACAGAATTTCATTAGTAAGATCTGATAAGGGTGTGTTAGAATTGTTTACTGATGTTTTACTTTTAGTAGCTGTTAGACTAAATAATAGTGATAAAAATTCAATGACTGAACAGATTTGTTTCTATTACCTGGGCTGTTGGCTCATTTCACCTTCTTTTCATGTTTAATGTGGCCATTTCTTTTGTACTTGCCATTGAGGATTCCATTGTGGTAATGTCCATTAACTGTGCTATGCTTATTTCTAGACCAGAGGCTTTTGATTTTTCTGTAGATAAATTTTGTCACCCAGGACAAGAGGAAATAAAACAAGGCAGCACCAAGCAAAAGCACAAAGGCAATATCCAGTAAAAAATACTGACAGAAAGAGATTTGATGGACCGTGGCACGTAGGTGGTGGGCTCCATTGTGACGGAGAATGTAGTCTATCCAATAGATAGTCCGATTGACAGGGTGACCCGGTTGATCCTTGTGAATTTCTGAAAGCTTCCGGGCCCTCTGACGGTAGCTGTGCAGTGGGGGCAAAACATAGAATGTTCATGTTTATACACAGTTCTGTATTTGTGGATCTCCCAATTTGAAAATGGGGAAAATAACAAAAACAACTATCAAGTATCTAGCATGTATGGGCATGGTGTTAAGTGGTTTAAACATACTGCCTTATGTTAACCCAGTAAAATGAATTTTAAACTGCTGAAGAAAATGAAAATCAGAGAGACTAAGTAACTTGATTATGATTAAAAAGTTGAGATATGAATTCAAGTTTTTCTCGCACCAAACCCTATGCTCTTTCTACTCTATACCACATGTCCTTCTTGCCATATGTTTCTAATTAAGGAGTCTCAACCTGCAAGGGAAGTAAATTTTTTAGATTTTAGAATTTATTGGATGGAAGGATGGAGTAAAATATGCAGAACTTTGTTCCACCACTTTTTTTTTTTTAACAATAACATTAATGGGCATGAGAACATAATAAACAGCAGTGTTTCTCAACCCAAAGTATATATGTATAAAGAAATCACCCTCTTAAATGGTTAATTCAAAAACCAGTTGA